GACCATGTTGCGGACGTGGATTTCTCAGCATTCTACAATGGCTCTCTGAGAGACAGACAGCTCGCACTCTTCGACTTTAGTGAGTGACATCGTCTCAACGCCATAAACGATTCCGGCAAGAACGTAGAATTAAAGAGGTGGGAGCCGGTTTCGTTCTTGATGTTGCCTAGGAGGACGTACTTGATCGAATGAAACGCGACCCATCAGTCTTCTTTTTTCGCTGAATCTGTCCAACCTGATAATGCCACATGTTGATCTTATGAAGCAGGTGAATGTATCCATCGACTTCCTCGACTTTTTCATCGTTTGAGATTACTTAAGTCTTCGGGGCCTTCGGCAGGACACTTGATCGCAAAATCTTTGTCTGTGACCGACTGATTCACAGTTCGACGTTTGCACTGTTTCCTTCGAGCTCTATGAACATGTCTTGTAGCTGACTCGCATTTTCTGTCAACGACACCACGCTCTCAACGAACCTTAGGCATCTGAGCTGTCCACCACTGATGTTAACCCGAGTCTCCCAGTTCATCCTATAAGACACCATTTGCAAACAGGTAGTGAATAGTTAGCGGAAATAGCGTCCCCTTGTTTTACACACTTCTCCACTTGAATCCGAAGGGATGTCGAACAGCATGATGTTTGTGAAGTAGCCAGAGTTCTCATTCTTTGGCAGGTTGATGTAACGGGTGTATTCTTCTACCAATGCAGACACACTGCTTTATGGTACATCGTAGTAAAAGAACGCTATGCACAGAGGGAGTCGGATTTCCCTCGTGCACACCAGCAGTTTACTTTAGATAAGGATGCCAGCCGCTGTACTGTAGCTCTTTCATAATCCGGCCTATTTTCTTGGATGATGTTCGTCCATGTTTGTTGACAGTCTATTGGTGACGATCTCAGTGAATAGCTTGTATAAAAGGTAGGGTACATTTCGAAGGCAGGATCATTAGAATCGTAGTCATTTCACGGATGAGAATTTCCTTGCAGACATGAATAAATAACCCAGCATTTCTGAAATGCAGACAAAAAACTGTTTGCCTGTTTGTTTTAAATATTTTGCTCATGCATAGATGCCATGTCAACAAATATAATTGATTAAAAGTTTATTATCGGTTTAATCCTGTTTAATCCTACCACGTTACGCAAATTTTCTTGTGGTACTAAAATCTTATTCTTTGTGTTTCCATCCAATAGCTGGAAAAGAAAATCGCCAGTCTGATCAGGATTAAACATAACAGGCTATAAATAATAAGGAGGGGCAACAACCGCAGAGTCTGGATTATCCTCGAAGAGTGATGGAGTAAACCAATTAAATACAGTAATCTATCAGTACAGTGATAAGAGGTCTCCTTCGGTTCTTTCTTTTTAAGAGAAATATGAACAGTGAAGTCTATCGTTTCGTTTATGCGTTTACAATCAAAATATTTACGGTATGGCTTTTTTAAACAGGTGCATCTTAATGGTTTGAGGAAAATCTGTTAGCTTTCACCGTTTGAGTTTCATGGCAAATTTTAATAACTACCTTAGCAATTGCAAAAAAATCCTTAACATCATTTGCCCTGGCCTGCGATTCCGTATGTTCCGTTTC